CTGTATAACTGTCAAATACCATTATTAAGAATGCTTATTTTCACCTCTGCAATTTCGTTTTTTTTTCTGCTTTGCTTCTGCTTATCTGCTGCCAAAACCCTTTTGTACAATTTTTGAATATTTTGGTCCACTCCTGGCAAGGCTCCCACATTGCACCCTCCTTAAACTCTAAATGTTGCCCAAAACTCTGCTGCCCTTCTTGACCGTGTTCACCAATCAGTCTTGTGCTCGCCTAAATTGGCTATCTGTTGAGGATCACCTCAATTTTAAAATTGTCATCCTTAATTTCAGACTTTTCCATAGCTTTGCCCTAGTCTATCTCTGCTATGTTCTCGAGCCCCATAACCAACGAGAAAACTGCATTGTTCCAATTTCAGGGTCTTGATCATCTCTAATATTAATTGTCCAACTAAGGGTAGCAGTGCCTTCAGCTGTCGAAGCCTTCAAATGCTGTATTTCACCCACAACTCTCACTGCCTTCCTGCCGCACTTTACTCTTTTAAACCTACCTCCGTGACCACATTTCTTTCACCTGCTGTGTTATTTTACATGCCCTGATGTCATATTTTATGATATTTTTGTGCAGCACCTTGGGATGTTTTATAAGGATCTAAGTAAAGTTACTGATGTAATCTGTTTCTAATGATGATGGTTGAAAGAGGAAGGCATGTATTTATTTGATCCTGTCACAGCCTCAGGGTTGTCCCAAAGACGACGATGTGCCAGACAATCCTGGAGAATTCCCCTTCTTGATCTTTGCATAGCATAATCACCCTAAATACAGGGCCTTAGTTTAATATTGCAAACAAACGATGACTCCTGACGGTGACAGTGCGGTAGTCCCTTCAGCAGTGTGCTGGAATGTCATTTCTGTTTCATAAGTAATGGATGAACCCACCCGCTACCTTTTGATGTGAGCAGTACTGGGTTAGAGTATAAGATGCATGACAATGGAGAATGAGTCTTTGTAACAGCAAAATTGTAGGAAGCAAGAGGTAGTGGCAGTACGAAAGGAAATAAAATTAAGTAAAAGACTTAACCAAATGGCAATGTTTTTCAAACTCAAATTAAATTCCTGCTTTAATATCTTGCTAGAATTGTAGATGAAGATTCACTGACTTGCCCATTCATATAATAACTTTCCAGTGCTAACATGTTGTAAAGTCAAGCAACTGTCTGCCTTGTGTGACTTACCTTTGTCTCTCTATTTCCAATGCTTCCCTGTTTATTTTCTCTGCAGCTTTTGATTCTCTGCAGCCTTTTGCAGTTCTCTTCACCCTTTCTTAGCACCTGATTGACTTAAAGGGTCTAATTTGTTTAAGAGTCAGTTTCTACAATTTACCTGTTTAGGTAAGTGAAATGTTTACAAAAAGTGCATTCTTATCAAAGGAATGTGTATTCATGTCAATCTTATTATAATTTCTGAAAGAAGGATAACCGATGCCATCATTGTAGAAAACATTTTTATTGGAATTCAGTTCAGGAAACAATCCCCTCGGAAATCAGTACAAGTAGAAATTAGCTGTCTGGTCTCGGAGGCCTCTGAGGTTCCTTGATGCAGCATGCAGAGTCTGGGAACCCCAGTTTGAAAATTTGACTTTGGTAAGGCTCTTGCTGTACTGTTTTGCTTTCCCTGTAGCTGGTCTCAGATAAAGCAGAGAGGACTACTCTATCATTAGAAAGAGATTGGTGGTGAATTTAACCTGAGAATCCCCACATCCTGGGAAGGGACAAGTTTGAGAAGGCGGCCCCTTCATGGTTTTCTTAGCAGGTATGGGAATCAAACCCGCACTGTTGCCATCATTCAGCGTCGCAAACTGGCTGTCCAGTCAGTTGAGCTGATCAATCCCCTTGCCTGGTCTAAGACTGCTGTTGTAATTAGATTATTTTCTACTGACAGTGGAATATCAACATTTTTTTTTTGTTTAGTTCTTGAATAAGGTGGAGAAATTCAGGGGGAATGCTTTCAGCCTCTTTCCCCTTGTTTAATTATCCATCATTTGGTATGAGAAAGCTTCAATTTACAGCTACTTTAAGACCCACCAATTTAGAATTTCTACTGGCACCCAGAGTTGGTCTCCCATCTCGGATAGAATCAAAGATATTACAGCCCAGAAGGACCCCTGTGATAGCGCTGTCTACTCCGATTCCAGTGCCTACCCATTTTATATTCTTTCTCAATTATTTATCTACTTCCCTTACAAATTATGGTACCCCTGTCTTAGTAACGACTCATGATTGAACATCTCATGATCAAGTACCCCTCTAGGAGAAAAACAAATCCCTTTTAAAGTTTGTTATCCTTCTAGATAGAACTTTGGATTCATGTCCCCTTGTTGCAACTCAGTGGAAGTATTCTTTCACCATTTGGCATCCTTTCATTACTTTGGAAACCTCAGTTAAATGCTCTGTTTAACTTTCTGTGCTTCAGTGGGGTTAAAAAAGTTTTTGCAGCATTTCTTCGTAACATGTTTTAGAAGCTTGCCTTAATTCATTCTTTGAAATTTGGTGCTTTGGATCCTTGGCAGAAGTGAGCTGATTGAAGAATGTAAAGCAACAATATTAAAATTTGTCAACTCCTAGACCTTTGGATTAGCATCGAGTTATTTTAAGGCACTAACCTCAAGTGTATAAACCTGTCTCCTTAAGCTACATTGCCACATTACTTTGAGCATGATTGGGGACCTCGGAAGGTGATATTATGTGACATAACAAAATAACCTCAATTTATATAATGTCTTTAATATCATAGTTCCTCTTGTGAAACTTCTTGAGATATTTACCAAACAAAATTTGATGTCAACTTTGAAATGGATACCAGGACATTTGACCAGAACCTTGGTCAAGGAGCCAAGTTTTAAAGAACATTTATTAAGAAATAGAGATAATGAGGCAGAGAGATTAAGAATGGGAATCAATTTTAAATTTGCTATTAATAGACATGGAGTTATTTTATTCTGAAAATCGCATGTTCCTCTTCATTCTTTGATTTACACTTTCTGGAGTATTCATTTCATTTAAACTCTATGAAACAATCCATCAGCTTAAGAAGTCAACAACTCTTGAAAATGATTAAACTGATCTACATAAATTAGAATTTTATATTTTACAGAATATTCAGTTCAATAGGTTTTCTGCTGTTTATACATCGCTCAAATTACATCTCATTCTGTCAACATACCATTCTGTTCCTTTCTCCCAAAAATAAAACTGCTGTTTGTCTTAGTCACTCATTGCGTTGAGTCCTGTGTCCTTAACATTCTCTAAGGAAAGATGTTTTTCCTGAATTACTTATTGGATTTATTACTGTCTATCTTAAATCAGTGGCCTCTCAATGTTAGTGAATTTAGATGTGTTATTTCACCAGTTTAATAAAACTCTGCAATCCTAATTAATTCATTACTGATGCAACAGATTTTTTTGTAATAAAAGAGCTTGCACATTACCTGTGGTTTTACTAAAAGATCAGAATGTATTAAATCATTTGTCTTGTAGAATCCCAGTTTTGTTCTTCGGTTTGGCAATTAAAATTATATGAAGGTGTGTTCAACTGATTTGAACACTTCATAGAATCCCTGCAGTGTGGAAACAGGCCATTTGGCCCAACAAATCCACACCCACCCTCCAAAGACCATCCCGCCCAGACTCAACTTCCCCCACCCTATCCCTGTAACTTAGATGCAAATCTATCCCCTTATTTATTAGAAGTGTTCTTTTGAAATAGATTACTTGAAGCATCAACCAGGTATCTTTCCAAGCTTAGGACTCAAATTTAAGCCTAAAATTTGCTAAAACGAGAGTATTACACTTTAAACCAGAAGGGTAATGAAAATAAATTATGTCCACATTTAAATAATACAGTGGACAAAGAGATCTATAATTTCATCATTCATATTTATCTCAACTCCTTAAACCTTATTTCTTTCACTAAGCTTTTGGTCATTTGGGTTTAATGTGTCCTAACGTGGCTTGGTGTCAACTTTTGTTTCATGTTTCTGTGAAATACCTTCAGATGATTTACAATGTTAAAGGTAGTACAAGTGGGAGTTGTTGTTTAGGATCCCTCACATGACCTCAAGTTTGAGTTAGGGAGGATGAAAATTAGAGTTTCCATTTCTCATAGTTTCTATTAATTCAAAGGGACCACCAGATGACAAGAATGTTTGCAGTGAGGTGATAGCAGAAAGAAAAGTCAATGAAGTAGTTTTTGAGGAGGTTCATGATGGGAAGAGAGCAAGATAGACAACTTTAGTCAGTGCTGAAAAAAAATTAATCACATTGTATGATTCCAGTCATCTTTCGCAAATCTTTTTCGCTCAGATTATTTTAATATAATTACTTTGTGTGCTTCAGAATATTTTGATTTGTGAAATGTTGCATGACATGTTTAATGTGCAACATGCATTGTTAAGCAGAAAATTGAAGTACTGTTGCTCCTCATTTACTGTATCATTAATTTTGAACACCTCTATTAAATCTCCCCTTAACCTCATCTAAGGAAAACAGTGCTTGCTTTTATCCTTCATTCCTGCACAGATATGGGAATAATTCAAGTATATATCTGGAGAAGGAACCAACCTCAGAGTTCAGTAGACATAATCTATAATTCAAAAGTACTCATTGCTGACCACTTCAATGGTTAATCAACATTAATGATTTTAATGTTCCTTGACCTGGACCCTCCTTTTAAATTTAAATTCTGCAATATTGAAAACAGATGCTTTTAAACGATCTGATTCTGAACTTGCAGTGATGTGATAATTGGCAGACCGGGGCGTGATTGAAACAGAAACAAAATTACGGTTGCCCTAAATTATGTTCTGCAACCTTTCCACTTTCATATGTTGGATTTTTTGCTTACTTTTGATTGCGAGAGTTATGCAGATAGGCAAGTATTTAATGTTGCCTTTGACAATTTAATGATGATTGAACAATGACTTCTTTAACTCAAGCCTTATTAGTGATATATTTATAATCACTTGCACTTTTCTTCTTCCCAGAACCCATAGGAAGGAAGTAGCATTATGTATGCTTCAACCAAGTACAGCAGTCGGGGCCCTACCCTTATTCCCAGGATGAAAACTAAACACCGAATTTACTACATTGCCCTGTTTTCAGTTGTGCTTCTTGGACTTGTAGCCACAGGAATGTTTCAGTTCTGGCCACATACAATTGAAGCTACCAATGAGTGGACATTTGAAAAACGCAGCATCCATGATGTTCCAGAAGTCAAGCTAGCTGAAGACAGTCCAATCCCTGAACGAGGAGACTTGAGCTGTAGAATGCACACTTGCTTTGATGTATACCGTTGTGGGTATAACCCCAAGAATAGAATAAAAGTCTACATCTATCCACTGAAAAAGTATGTTGATGCATATGGCACTGTGCTCAGTAACACTATCTCCAAAGAGTATAATGAATTGTTGACTGCCATTTCAGAAAGTGACTTCTACACAGATGATCTAAACAGGGCATGTTTGTTCATTCCTTCTATTGATGTGCTTAATCAGAACAACCTCAGGATAAAAGAAACTGCACAGGCATTGGCCCAGCTATCCAGGTATGTTGAAAAGAGTTGCATTTTGATTATGTGTTTTCTCTGACTTGGAAAATAGTTATGGTCCGTTAACAATTTTATGTCAGCCTGGTTTTCAGCTGTTATGTTTATATATATGTATACGCATCAGCTTTCAAGATTCTTCCAGTTGCAGTCCTACGTTGTGCCCATTTCCCATGCGGCAGACATCATTTATAATTAGTGAAAAACCCAAACCAAAAGGCATGGAATTGGTATTAAAATATGCAATGGTGACCAAGGGAAGTGATGGAAGTAGCGCTGTAGGCTCCAGGAAGAATGGCTGCTTTTTTTTTGATTTTGATCTTATTGTCACGTGTACCAAAATACAACGAAAATATCTAGAATTCTACAGTTTTATAATTCTGGAAAAACTGAATTTGAGCAGGATAGTTAGTTGTGACATGCTGAGAATACTGAGAGCAGGTGTGGTGAGGATCAGATTAGGAAGTGCCAAAAAAGACTTTTATCGGATTACTTTTCATATTTAGATACAAGATGTAGACCCACAGCCAGAATAACGGGCTCCAAAAAAGGCTTTGGACCTTAAACCATGTTTGCCTTTTCGACAAAAAAACTTTTGCCCTTAACCTGGCCACAGTTTATGAAGAATGTAATAGAGAAGACTTCAGTGGCACAGGGAAAGCATTCTGCTGAGGGTAGACTTGGGTGTTAAAACCGAAAGAACTGCGGATGCTGTAAATCAGGAACAAAAACAAAGTTGCTGGAAAAGCCCAGCAGGTCTGGTAGCATTGACTTGGGTGTTATACTTAGGGAAGACATAGGAGCATGTGTAGGATTTTTGACCCTCAAGCTTGCTTTGCTGTTCACTATGATCATGGCTGATCTAATTATGTCTTTAATTCTCATATTCCCACCTGCCACCAGAACCCTTGACTTGCTTGTAGATTCTGTCTAACTCAGCCATGAACGTTAAATGACCCAGTCACCATTACTCTCCACAGAAGAGGAAACTGAGGTCCCAAAAGGTTTTGTCTTAGGACAAGAATGAATAGGTAGAATACTGTGATCAGCGGGATGTGACAAATGGTGTTTCTCAAGATACTGGTGCCACAGCTTTTCACCACATATATTAATAATTTAGATGAAGAATTAGAGTTCTATATCCACATTTGCAGATGACCAGTAAGTTAGGAGAACATAGTAAATTGTATAGATTGGTGCAAGATTTTTTAAAAATTCACTTGTGGGACATGTGTGTCGCTGGCTGGCCAGCATTTATTACCTATCCCTGGCTATTGTTATGAAGGCGGTGGTAAGTGCTCTCTTGACCAACTGTAGTTCATGATTTCCCATGCATAAAGCTTATGCCTTGTAGATAGTACACAGATTTGGGAGGTCAGGAGGTGAGTTATTTACCACAGTATTCCTAGCCTCTGACCTGCTTTTGTAGACACTTTGTACGTGGCGAGTCCAGTTGAATTTCTACTCAATGGGAGCCCCCAGGATGTTAATATTGGGAGATTCAATGATGATAACACGATTGAATGTTAAGGGGCATTGCTAACATTGCCTCTTATTGGCGGTAGTTATTACCTGGCATTTGTGTAGTGTGAGTGTTGCTTGCTACTTATCAACCTAAGCCTCGATATTGTCCAGATTGTCTCTTATTGGTGATGGTTATCGCCTGGCATTTGGGTGGCACGAATGTTACTTGCCACTTGTCTGCCCAAGCTGTCAGGGCCCATAATTTATCCTATCCAGTGCCTCCAACCATTTCTTGATATCACGTAGAGTGAATCAAATTGGCTGAAGCCTGGTATTTGAGAGGTTGTCTATTAGCCTCCATTCAGCAGTGGAAATGTAGGGGATGGCATTAAACAGGAACTTAGAGAAGCATGTAACAAAGGTACTGCTGTATAATCAGGGGTGACTTTAATCTACATATAGACTGGGTAAACCACATTAAAAATAATACCATGGAGGATGAATTCTAGAGGTGTGTACAAGATTTTTTTAGATCAGTTATGTTGAGGAACTATATTTTGTATTCACAACAAGAAGGGGTTAATTGTAATTTTGTGTGGGGTGCATGACAGAATTCTTTATTGGGATGAAAAGTGAAATATTCCAATCTGGAACAAGCGAAACAATGAAAGTACAAAACATCATACAGGGTTCAGAGATTTTGGAGTTGTCTTTCAGAAAACGTATTGGAAGCATAGGTTTTGAATGTTTTTAATGCAGAGGTAGATTCTTGATAAGCAAGAGAATGAAAAGTTGTCAGGGATAGATAGAATTGCAAATTTGAGGTTACAATCAGATCAATGATGATCTTATTAAATTGTGGAACAGGCTCAAGGGGCTAAGTAACCACCCCTGCTCCTAATTCATGTTTGTAGGTATGCTCATATTAAAGACTTGGCAGTGGTTAGGCAATGGCTAATATCTAAGAAATAAATCTAAGCATTGTAACAAATAAACATTTCATTTGGCACAAAAAAAAAACTGGAGAAGAGGCCCAACAATGGTTAGCAAAAGAAATTAAGCATAATTTTAGATCCAAAGAGAAGTAATATGAAAGTTGCTAGAAAAAGTTAGCAAGGCTTAGGAGCAGTTTAAAATTCACTAAAGGAGAACCGAAAGATTAAGAGGCGAAAATAGAACAAACCTGCAAGGAACCTAAGAGTGGACTGTAAGAGCTTCTACAAGTATGTAAACAGAAAAAAAGATTAGTGTAAATAAATGTAGAGCCGTCCCAGTTTGACAGAACAAAATTGAAAATGGAGAACATGGAAATGGCACAGCAATTAAACAATTACTTTTGTTCTGTCTTCACATAAGACACAAATAACAGCCTAAAAATAACTTGGAAGAGTACACTTGTACAATTGGTGTGTGTTTTCTCTGTTCAGCGTGACCATCTTAAAACATTGTACAGTTTATATTCTGAAAACATGTATATCTTTACCATTTTTAGATGGAATAGAGGGACAAACCATTTGCTGTTTAATATGCTTCCAGGAGGCCCTCCTGATTATAATACTGCACTTGATGTTCCACGTGACAGGTGAGTTTTAAGTCCAGAAGATGCTTCCACTGCTCCTTGAATCTTCCTGTTGGTGCTAAGCATGTCAGGTCAACTGTTTGCTTCAGTTACACCTGCATTTTGTACTTAAGATAATGGGCAAAACTTTTATTCTAGAATAGTTGTCTTGTGAATATGGTTTGCAAGGAGGCTGGTGACATGCTCATCTGTATGAGGCAAATTCATGAGTTAGTCTAATTGCCTTCAACTGGTTTAGAAAACATTGTTATTCGACAAACCATTCACTAAATGCGTGCTGGGTTACTGGATTAAAATCTGAAATTTACGAGCATGCTGCCTAAGAGTTTAGAAAGTGAATTCAGAATTGCTTGGTGCTGGACATAATTTAAGAAGTTTCTGTTTCTACTAATGAGAGTTGATTTCAGAATGAACAGGTAAATTATGAAAAAGTGACCCATGGGGAAAAGTGATCATAATATCATTGAGATAGAGAGTGACATAGTTCTGAGAATTAGTGTCCTGAATAATAATGGAAACTGTGATGACATGATGTGCGAGCTAGGTATGATAAATTGGGAATGTTAATTAAAGGGATGACAATGAATAGGCAATGGCAAACATTTAAAGAACAAATGGAGGAACTGTGTAACGGTTTTATATGTAGTTTTGGTTTCCTTATCCGAGGACGGATGTTCTGACTATGGAAGGAGTGCAATAACGGTTTACCATTCTGATTCTTGAGATAGCAAGACTGATGTTTAAAGAGATACTGGATCTGTTAAGACTATATAGGGTCACACAGTGGGTCAGTAGACTGCTGCCTAACAGCGCCAGGGTCGCGAGTTCAATTCCAGCCCTGGGCAATTGTCTGTGTGGCGTTTGCACATTCTCCCCATGTCTGCGTGCATTTGCTCTAGGTGTTCTGATTTCCTCCCACAGTCCAAAGATGTGCAAGTTAGGTTGATTAGCTATGCTAAATTGCCCATAGTGTCCAGGAGTCTACAGGCTAGCTTGGTTAGCCATGGGAAATGCAGGTTTACAGGGGTAGGATAGGGGATGGGTCTTGATGGAACAAATGGCCTGCTTCTACACTGTGGGTATTCTATGATTTGTATTAGTTTAAAAGAATAGGGCGTATCTCACAGAAACCTATAAAATCTGAATAGCACTAGACGGGATAAATATAGGAATAATGTTCCCAATGACAGTCGTGTCCATGTTTAGTTACAGCACTTCTTTTTTAACAGACTGTTAACAGAATCAATGTAGTTTATGAACTTTATATGAAAGTGTTTTAGAAATGGAACTGATCGTTTTATAAGATCGAGTATGCATTTAATATAGGATAGTTTCACGCTTAGTTAGTTTTACTGTTGCTCTTGACTTTTTTAGCATTTTGATCTGGATTTTATGGTAGAAGTAATGGTGAGAATATCAGAGTTTGGCATTTATTGAGAACAACTACTACATAGCATCCACTTAAACATGGTAATTGGGAAGTTGCCGTTTGATTAGCTCTGCTCTTCCTCAAGCTCCATTGAGGGATAAGAACATAAGAATTAGGAGCAGGAGTAGGCCATCCGGACCCTCGAGCCTGCCCCGCCGTTTAATGAGATCATGGCTGATCTTTTTGAGACTCGGCTCCACTTACCCACCCACTCACCATAACCCTTAATTCCTTTACTGTTCAAAAATTTATCTAGCCTTGCCTTGAAAACATTCAGCAAGGTAGCTTCAACTGCTTCACTGGGCAGGGAATTCCACAGATTCACAACCCTTTGGGTGAA